AACAATAAAGGGGAAAGTAAAGAAGTAGGACCTACCAGTGGCGCCCTCCAACCACCCACAACAATAACAGCGTAAAAACCAGTTTTGACAAAAATACAGACAATAACAACAACAATAACAGCATAAAAACCAGTTAGGACGAAAATACAGACAATAACAACAATAACAGCGTAAAAACTAGTTAGGACAAAAATACAGACAATAACAAAAATAACAGCGTAAAAACTAGTTAGGACAAAAATACAGACAATAACAACAATAACAGCGTAAAAACCATTTAGGACGAAAATACAGACAATTTCACCAGCGTTCAGGATGAACCCTCACCGTGGCGGACGCCGTAGATGACCAGCACCTCGGTCCAGCCGTAGTAGGTGATGACGTCTGTATAAGCCCTGCCCAGCTGCTCCATGCCCGGATACAGGTTTACTGTCAGCGCATGCGCCGGGGTATACAAAGAGTCCAGGGCGTCACTCCGAATTTCGATATGAGGGACCTGGGGGTCAAGTGACAAAATAGTAGGATGCTTTCCAGGAAGCCATGAATGTTTCTAAGCGTGCTAAAGTCTGCTGGAGTAATAATACAGATTTTCATTATTATTGTAAAAAAAAAAAAAAAACAGAAAAAGAGAAAGTAGAAAAAAAAGAAAACTAGGAAAAAATTGTCCCATTGCCAGAAAAATGAAGGTTTCCTTGGTTACATTATTTTGTCGAGCGCCGTATTTCACTATGATACATTACATTTCTCACCTGTAAAGAAGCACAGAGTGACGTCACGAAGCCAGCCAGGTTGGTCGCCCGAGGTCCGAACACGGCAATAGTGTTTTGTTCTATCTGGTAACACACTGTGGATAAATGATAGTGTATTTCGGAAAATGAGAGACGCCTCTTTGTTTTATTTCGTATGAGAAAGAAGAAGGGGGAAAAGAAATAGATGAAAAGGGGGTGGGGGGTACTTTTTCCATGCGATGGGGAGGGAAAGGAAAGAGTTGGATTTGGAATGGAGGTGGGGCAGGGGGGGGGGTTGAAAGGGAAAGCAATCTGAAAGAACTGATGGCGACATACCGAGCGTAAGTGGAACAATTACTTGTCAAGAAACAACATTAATATAATAGTGTTAAGACGCAGTGGAATCAGGTGCTCGTCAGTTTTTTGGGGCATGTGGAGTTATTGGTATTATTCTTTAAGTTTTGTGAAAAAAAAAAATTCCAATTTTTCTAGAGTAAAAGTCGAGATATTTGCGATTGAAGAAGGTGGGGGTAGCCTGGTTTCAGAAGCAAAATTTGCGAGAAAAGGGCCGCAAAAGTTTCGTTATTTCCCTAGCTTGGGAGTCCATGGAAACTCAAAATTTACATTCTTTGTCCCTTTAATCAACGTTTTTCAGTGAAATTCACGAAGAAATGTGTTTTAATAGGACAT